ATTCTATTTCTTTTTCGATGTAGTAGATAATAAAAGAAACTTTTAATCAATATTAAAAATTTGCGTACTGAATTTGAGAGAATCAATACGTTGCAAGTTCTAAAAATAACGGCACGTTGATAATTTTATTACTTGAATTTAGATACACAGATTTAGATAGACTAGATTTAGATAGACAGATATATGACATTTAGAACTTAAGAATCTACTTTCGAAAACAAGCTGTGGCTATTTTAGTTATTTTTGTACTTTTCTGTTGTGATCATAAATCTATTAATAAAAAAAATCTTTAACTATGGTTTCATAGTTTTTGCAAAAGTCAAATTTCGACGATATAATTTTACTTTTTTATTTTTATATTTCAGTTTCTTATAAAAAATACATTTCTGTAAATGAAAAATTTGTTTAGATGAATATTACCAAATTAATAAAATTGTTACTATATGGAAGTTTACTAAATTACGTTATAGCTCTATACCAACACAAAGAAAATGTATTTGACAAATTTAAAATAAATAACAAGCAAATAAACAGACTAAAAACAACGAGAATTAGAAGATCAGAAGTAATCAAAAACACTAAGGAAATTACATCGCTACACAACGCTACACACTCTTACATATACCAAATGTCTAAAACCTTACGTGATAGGCTTGTCAATCCTCGTTTGTCTGATTTTATAAAACCAAAAGGATACGAAATTGAATTAACATTAGAGACAGGAGAGAATATCTTCTATGGAGAATGTCGTATTATGATTATGATTCTTAAGGCTACACGAAATATAAACCAGCATTCAGCAAATTTGGAAATAACTGAAGTCATATTTACAGGAAAGACTAATAGTTATCTAATAGTGGGTAAAGCACGTAATATTTCGTATATACACGAACTGCAAATTGTCGTCTTGTATTTCTCTGAAGTTCTACGGCCTAGTAATTATATTTTGAGCATAACGTATAAAGGTGTTCTTGCTAATGATGGAGGTTTTGTCAAGGTTTCGTATATAAATAAGATAGAAGAAAAAAGTAAGTAAGAAAACGTACATCACATTAAAAATATTATGTAATAATGTCTAAAATGAGTCTACAATTTATATCTATTAAATATTGATAAATATTATATAATAAAAATTAAAGAGTCTCTGAACTAGTGAAAATTAATGATTCACAATGGTATAGGCGATCTTTTAAAGGTCTTTAAATATATGAAAAATAATATGTTATAACTCTGTTAATGTTATAATATTTATAGAGTTTTAGAAAAAGCTTTATTTTTGTTGCAAAATATATAGTTAGCTAAAGTAAACACTTTGCAAAAAGTTATAAAAATAATAACGTATAAAGTGATATTATTTCTTCCTTAAAGATGATTTATTAAATAAATTCTTTATAAATATTATCCGCGTATATAAAATAGAATTTTTAATACGAATCTCTTAACATTTATCTATAATCTATATATATATCTATGCATAATAACATAAATATATTGAATTGTAAAAAAGTATTAGAAAGGAAGGTCACGACTTGCATTAATAATACATAAAAGCTGCCAAAATATTTCTATTAAAATATATTCGCTCTTTCCCCCGTTCCTGTAATAAATTAATTTAAATGTTAATAAAAATAAAAAATTGTCTTATTATACAATTAACAAAATTAATTGTATATATTAGATGGCTGATCGTAACAAATAACTCAGCGATAGGAATGCGACGACTCTTTCCATGTTGGGACGAACCCGGATTAAAAGCTGAATTTATCATTGTTGTAAATGTTTCTGAATATTACAATGTTTTTTCAAATTCTTTTCCTTTTACATCTATGTCAAAATCTTTGACGACATATTATATCGTAACTTCTGAAATACCCACGTACCGAATAGGAATTGTGAGCATGACTATACTGGTATTTCTCCCATACAAAACTTCAAATTATGGAGAAGAGAGTTGATGGAAGTACAATGGGATCAAATTTTGAGATTAATTGAAGATGTCATAGACACGGTTGAATTTATATGGTAACAATCAGAAGGGTCTTTAAGGAAAAATCAATTTGCGATCGCAGGTTTGACTGATGATGGCGTGGATAAATTGGCGTTCGTACTTCACAGGTAGAATATGTTTTTAAAAAAATTAATTTTTACATTTTTACATTTTTAATAAAACAATTGTAGAATAAAGAAACGTAGTAAATATTATATAGTATGTAAGGTTACCGGTATTAAAAAATAGCATATATTGTGAATATTTATATATAACGAATCATTTGTATGTTGTGTTTAGAGAAGAAGATATTATTTACAATGAAAAAATAGATCCCATTGCACGCAAAATAGAGTCATCACGTAAAATAGGACGTAAAGTGGTTGGTCAATTGTTTGGTACCGCGGTTAGTCCATCATGGTGGTCTTGCATGTGGCTGAATGAGGGTATTGCTATGTTGTTCGGCGTGTATACAATCAATCAGGTATTTTTTCACGTGTGTGATAATACTTTCAAAGAAAACTGAATATAAGTTTTATTTGAAAACACACGAGGAGAGAAAGAATATTCTTCCAATATTTTCAATGATATTTAAGTTGAACGAAAAAAATTTTGTCGCATTCATGTGAAATCGTTTATAAAATTTTTATTAATTGAATTATATTGTTAAGGGTTATTAGACTAATGATAATAAACTAATAATTAAATTATTATTTATTTGACTATACTTGTAATGTCTAGATTATGCCTGAGAGTCGAATGTTGGATTTATTCGTAGTCCAGACTCAACAAGAATCTCTCCGTCTAGATGATTCACAAGTTATGAATCCTCTTGGTTCAGAAGTTGACAGTATCTCTGAAATTAATTCTCTCTTCTCTTTCATATTACCTATTACATAAAAGGTATAGAGTAGTGAATAAATAAAGTTGAAACAATTAAAACATGTAAAATTATTTAAAAATTATACCAAAAATAAATTTTTACTTTACATATTTTAATTTACATATTTTTTTATTCACTGAAATAAGTAATGACATATTCTAAGACAAATATATTCTAGCATCATTAAAATTTTTAATTAATTGTAGTCTTATCAATGTTTCTAAGAATTTCGATAAATTTATTGTACGTATAATTTCTTGCATGTTTGATTTTATAACGCTCATCTGTTGTAGCACCTTCTATATTGACTGTGTATGTGAAAAGAAAATAAGTATTTTCATATCTTGTATTCTTTTTTTCTTTTCCTTTTTGTCAAATAAATAATTTTTCATTTTTATTTCTTTGTTACATGATGTAAGTTTATATGTAAATGATAATTTACTATATTCTTTACTATATTCTTTGCTACTTTTGTGCCGTATACTGTTACTACATATAAAA